AGTACGTAGTACTAACTAAACCTAACCTAACCTTAACTTAAATTTAAGTTAAGTTAGTAGGTACGTTACGTTTAGTTTAGTTAGTTAGTTAGTACGTACTACTCTCTCTCTCTCTCTCTCTCTCTCTCTCTCTCTCTCTCTCTCTCTCTCGATATATATATATATATATATATATATATATATATTGGTGGGGGGCGGAGGAGCTGGGGAGATTGAAGGTAGTTTCTGTTTTTTTGAAGTTCGGTATCCAAAACCCAATTCTCAAAGCCCCAATTTTATGAAAAACTACTCTTGTAGGGCTTTCTAAAACATCAAAATGGACCTAAACAGGCTCTCCAAAACCTAGGTTTTGCAAGAAAACTTGGTGCTAAACAAGATAAACTTGGGCTTTACAAAACAAGGTTTTACCAAGTCTAGTATCCAAATTGGTTTAGAACAAAGTGGAGTGAAACCTAGGCTTTCACATCTCCCAAAATTGTCCGTTTTCTATTTCTCTAGGCCCAAATCAATCACTATGCATCATTTTTTCTTTTTTTTTAAATTGCTCACTTTTTTTTTTTAACCTCGTCATCGCAAACTATGCATCAATTATCCATTGTATCAAAGAAGGAAAGCAAGATCTGGTCATCCATCTTCCAGATCTGTAAGTTGCCATCATACAAAACTCCGTGCCAAGTACAGTGTTACTGCGACTTTACACCCCTTGGCTGGTGACATGTGTTGACACTTCAACACATCTCAGCACTTGAGACCACCTGGGCATATTTCATTCATTGTGGAAAGACTCGTGATAGGGTTTAAATTCAAGTGCTTGGGCCTGTGGTCCTCTACTCTACCACCTCCCCATCCACTTCATGTATTGAAAGTTAAATTACATCATAAATACTAAAGACATAATACTAAAATCTTTAGAGAATCGTTGCCTGATATTGGTTTCTTTTTGGAGAGGTCGATATGAATGCCACCACTCCAAAGGGAACTTCCATCCTCGGAGTCTGATATGTAGGCATCATCGTAAAGAAGGTAGTAAAAAGGTCTCAAAAAAACCTACCCCAAGACAGTAGGAGTCTGAATAAATGCGCCCCATGTCAATTACAGTCCATATATAACAGATGCAACTGCTACAGCTCAAGAACCATTCGTCTCCATTGAATAGATGAAAAACAGATACCTGGATTCCTTGTTTCAGAGTGATGAAACCCTAGTCAATGTCACTAAGCAAAACCTTCGGTTCCAAAAAATCCATAAACGCAGATACCACAGCATATTCTCATCAGGAGATGGGCAAACAAGATGAGTGGCCCATGCATTCATTGGGAAAGTGGAACTCAAACTTCCATGAAGTGAGACTAAATGCCAAACTTCCCACATTTCATATCCATTTTCTAGTCCAGCAAATACTTGCATGACCTTTCAATGACCAAAAAACTCCACCTAGATAAGGATTTGAAAGTTATCTTAAGGTCACCTACAAAATAATGGCACCAACATATTTCACACTAAGCATGACTTGTGCGATTGACTCCTATGATATTTTCAGGCTCTCAAAGATAGAGCGTGTTATCCATAAACAGGACGGCGTAGAAACCCCCAAAACTAAATCAAATCATGACATACTGTAGACACCATTTTAACAACTGAGGGAACTCTAGGAAACCAAAAACCGTCGAAAACGATAGGAACCTAGGCTAGAGCCAAACCCATTCCAGACAAAACCCTAATTTTTGCCCCATCCAAATGCCCTTTTCTAGCCTAAACTGCACTAGGGACCATACTAGTATAGTACAGCCTAGTGCACCATAGTCCCATGTTCCATACACCACCGCCACAAACCGCAATTAGTTAAACACTAATTAAATTGAACCCAAGCCCACTTGGTTAAGGCCTAAACTTCCCTTTAACCTTCCTAATTAGGCTTAAGGTCCCATTAAACTTGCCTAATGAGGACAATACCTGCCAAATTAAGCCTAGACCTATCGTACAACCCTCTAAATTTGACCAGCCTAGATCAATCTAACCAAAAATTCATATCTTAAATCATTTTAAATGGGTCTTTAAACCCTTGAAACTGCCCAAGACCCCCCTTTATTTGACCTAAAACAGCCCCCAACAGTCCTTTGGGACATGAGGGACAGGTGGCAAGAAGCTGCCACCTATCTAGGCCCCGATTGGCCTCAACGACACACTCCGCACAGCTAAAGGATCCCAGGCCCGTTAGTCCTCATTTTGCCTATAAAAGGCCCTCATGTGACCCACTTTTGGACCCCAAATTCTGAACCTCACCCAAAACTCTATCGCACTAAACCCGGATCACTGCCTCCTACAGAAACCACAGTAGCCTCAGTCACTTCTTTGACCCATAAGACCATCCAAATGCCTAAACCTAGAATCTGGATCGTCATGATCGAACCCTAGACCACTGTGCTCCACCCCACCTCGAAGGCCTCTCTGACTCTGCATTCTGTAAGAACTCCGAATCCGAGTGTCTATGGCCCAACTCTCTGAGTGACAATGGGAACAGTCCTCTCGCACCAACATCTTTGATAAAGGATTACAAGAAGGCCCATTCTACTTCTCTATTTTCTTTCAATTTTACGTTATTAAGATTAAGTTTATTCGCTGTTTTCTATTTTTCAAATATTTTCCTAGATTCCCCCCTGTTTTCCTAAGCTTTTCCAAAATCTCCTTTCGGTTTTAGGACAAATCTTAGCCAGCACGGCCGACAGACGACCAAAGAGAAGACCCCGAGATCATTTTTCTTTCATGGTCCATAATTTGATGGAACTCTACAATCTACCTCCAGTCAATGAAATTTAAACACGAAATGAGGCAGAGATTGTGCTTTCACTACCCAAATTTCACATATAAATACATATATATCTAAAAAATAGGTTTAAGAACACCATATGAGAGACAGTAGTCCAGTTTGGCTAGCTTTGAATCTACTGGTCAAAATGATGTTCTGTAGGGTTGATGGTTGACTGCATACTAAATATAAAGATCAAACTAGGAGCAACATAAATAGTTTCATGGGAAAACCAATAAATGGGAAAAAAAGAGTTACAGAACCAAATCCATGCAAGCCACTTTCATCCCATCCCCCTTGACAACATGCAGAGGAAAAGACTAAAATACAAGAATGTATAGGCACCGTTTTGACAACTTCTAAGGGCAGCAAATTCACTTTTCCTCAGAAAAATTCCCATTAAACGCCCTAGTTAAAAAGGTATCACACAGCAAATCACCACCACTATTGAACTTGCCGGATAGAACAGATACAAAGAGATTGTCTTTTGTAAGAAGAGCTGATAGCAAGATTCAATGTTTCAAACATAACACGACTGACAAAGTCGAAAAAAGAATGTTCCAGCTTCAATAAAGGGAAAAACCAAAATTTACAAGGGAATCCTTTCTATATATTATTCCCCCCCCCCACATACAACCGTCCAATAGATCAAGTGAGCCACTGACCATATGATTTAGATCCGACACCACCGAGTATTTTATTTCATATTTTTTTTACAAATCATATAAATATGAAATTTGGTACATGCCCTCATTTTAATGGGGCGCATCTAAAAACATATTTAAAAATATTTTCAAAAGCATAAAATGACCAAACTACCACTAAAACATTCAGGGGTATTTTTGCCATTTCATTTTCTTGGGAATATTTTCTTATATTTTTTGCAGCTGTGAGTTTAAAAGAGAAGTGGACACCCAAAATTTGGAATCAAAATAGTTTGTAGAAAAATTATAAAATAAAAAAATGTAAAGGAATGATATTGTGATTGGGCCATCATTCAGATCGGACGGCTGGATAGGGGGGAATATTTAACTTATATATAGTAGGGGAAGTATAGAAAGTTGTCCCAATTTACAATTAGAAACTTAACAACATTAATAAAATCAGCAAACAATGAATAAGGTAATTGAAATAGAGAAACCAACATTTAAAAGTAGGGACTTCACAACATTCATAAAATCCACTAACCATGAATACAATAATCGAAATAGAGATGTACTTAGTAGCCAGTCACCCAGTCATGCATTTTAACAAGGCCATGTGCTTTGCTGGAACTTGCATAACATAGTAAGAACCACATTGTTTGCAAGATTTCAAGTTGTAAATGAGATTGAAATTTTAGACTTTTCTTGAGTACAAGTGCAAGTCACGGCATATTACATATTTCATGCTAAATGATCCTAAGTGGTACCTTTGTTAGAAGCTGCTTGATGAAACGCTTATGTGGGTCCAAAGTATAGGTTTCTAGTCCCAATTCTTTCTCCAAAAGCCTTCTAACACCTTCGAGAGTCAAAGAACTGGAATGGAAAGTGAAAGTGAGTATATGCTACCTTCAAAAAATTGGCAAAACAAATCAGGTTATGTTCTCCAAAATACAATCTATTAAATCATGAAATCTGATAGTGAACAACATTGTTGGTTTTTGTAAACAGTTTGGATATAAATGTATACACACTATCTAATACCTTAACGATATTAAAACAGGTGAGTGTTTAGTATTCTATCAAAAATGTTCATGTGTAAGTGTCTCAAACCTCCTGAGGACTCAATCCAGTTGACTCAGCTCAAGAATTGGTCAAGTTCCAATTCATTCTAGGATTTAAGACGTTGGTATGTGTAATTATACATGTTGGTTAAGAAGATGATCTAAGATGTGAAGAAGCCCTTCCTGGACAACACTGTTTTCTGCTCACACGAATGGCAGCACTTTGGCAGGTGCACTCCACCGGTCTGGGACAGGTGTGGGTAGGCCCCCAAACATGAATGCCAGCAGAAACACCAATACAGACCAAGTAGCAGATACTATTATTCTATATATTCCTTCAATTGACCAAGTAGCAGACATCTTCATCAGAGCTATGCCTAGCAAGTGTCATAATTTCATTCTGCACAAATTGATGTTTGTCGATCATCCGAATTAGTTTAAGGTGTATTTCAAAGAAAAGGCTAATTTCGAAAGTGAAAAATGTCTAATTTTTCATTGTACTATCATTGCACTTTGTCGATCATCCAAATTAGTTTAAGGTGGATTTTAAAGAAAAGACTAATTTTGAAAGTGAAAAATGTCTAATTTTTCATTGTACTATCATCGCACTTTCTTTTCTCTGCATATGGTTATTTAGTAAATGCAAATATGGCTAAAGGATAATTTTGTAACATTGTTGTTCACTTGGGGGTATTTGTTGTGGTTACTCTTAATTATATATTAATTATGAGAATCGGATGATCTAATCAGAACAGGGCCATAGAACTTGGCTGGGTCCACTAGAACTAGGCCCCTTTGTCGAGCGAGTTCTTGTGTGCAAACTCGAGTAAAATAAAAATGTATTAAAAATCATAACAAATTATATTTTTTGTAAAATCAAAGTATAAGTATTTTATATATAATTTTGAATTTTTTATGATGACTTGTGAGTTTTCCTTACATACGCGCTATTTCTATATTTTCTCTCTCTTGGATCTTTCTGAATTCTTTCCCCTATAAATCAACTTTTTGTAGATCCATCTTTAATATATTTTCCATTTTATTTGTACATTTAATGTTGTTTACAGTTTGCATTCCACTACTTTTTTATTTTTAATAATTGCCTTTTGTTTTTCAAATTTATAACCCTATTTTTGGCGTGTACACTAATCGAGTGAGTCCATTTGGACTCGCCAGAGTTAATTGGCTCATATAGAGCAGGAGGCCCTACCCAAGCCAAGTAAACGAACCTTGAGTGAAAGACATCACTTTTCTAAGGTTGTCTCTTTATCAAAACTACACAGAACCATGCATTACAATTGATAACTTGAACTAAACATTGAGCACCTTCTTTAATACATAGTGTGCCACTAAAACTTGAGAAGCTATCCAAATTGAAGATCCTCAAGGGAGTTAACAAGTTTAAATAGGCAAGCTCATAAAATAGAATACAAATTGGGTAAAACTACTGTCAAATTCGTCTGAAACGAATGATATAGATGATAATGAATTTAGCTCAAAAGAGGAGCATTCCATCCAACTCTTAAACAAATAAAGTATTTCTTCAATCATTGCATGTTGTTTAAACATGGTGGCATACCTATTGGCTATACATGGTGTCACATACACTGGATCACAATCAAATTTGATCAGCTTATGTAAGTGGGAATTTATCAATGATTAATCATTGGCATGTTCCCAAAGTCAACAGAATACCAAGGCAAAAGCCCATCTAATGTAGAGGTATGTATCTTTTAGTGAAACCATTATGATTAAACGTGCTTTAAAATGCCTACCAAAAAATCATGGCAACGCCGAGTTATTGTGCACTCTACATTATGTATGCATGTAAGAAAAGCAATTGCAGGCAATATTCACCTAATCAGCATTTAAAGAAAAAAAAAAGGCAAACGGGGAGCATCTTGCCCCATTCTCCCGGAAAATAAATTTTAGAAATACATTAGCGCAAGAAATTCCCAAGAAAGAAATTTGACATTATATTATGGAAATGCATTTACTTTTAATATAAGGAGGTCATAATCATTATTTACTTTTAGATGAGAAATCAAGTGGTTGGGAATGTGTCATTGATGCACAACATTGTTAAGGACCCTACGGCGCATGCCTAAGCCTGGGCAGCCCTCCCTAAGCACTAGTACCTGGATTCGAATTCCGGGATAAATATACTCAATAAACATATTACCAGTATTAGAGGGGATGTTTGCCCCGTATAGAAAAGGTCCTTGTACTCATTAAGAAAGAGATTGTTGACTTAAAGAAGCTATAAGAATAAAGATTAACAAAAGAGAAGGATATAAGAGAATTGAAGGTGGGGGGTTAATATTTTTTTATCATGAGAACACTGATGAGGGCGATGAAGGAGAAGAGGAGGTGCGCCAGGTGGCAATATCTCAAAGTTCTAAGAGGGGTTTCGTATTTAGGGCCCAACCTCAAAAATACAATTGAGAAAGGGAAAGACAAGGGGAAGAAGCAAGTGAAGCTAGAAAATAGATATAAGGAAGATCGAGGCCCAGTAATTCAGCATATTGCTTGGTGGTTTTATCATGCAGGCATGTCTTCTAATATTGCTCGCTAAATAGGTGGACCAGGGTTGAAAGGCTCAACCCTTTATGAGCTTTCAATGCCACTACTGAAGAAAGATGTAGAACACACTAATGAATACCTCAAATCCCATAAGGATGGGTGGGCTTAATTTAGGGTTTTAATAATGACTAATACATGGAGTGATAGGAGGAGGGGTATCAAGAACTTGTTGGTGAATTGTCCCTTAGGTACATTGTTTTGATATCCATGAATGCTTCTAAAGAAGTTTATGTTGCACATCATGTATTCTCTTTTATTGATAAGAGCGTTGAGGAGGTTAATGAGGAGCATGTCATTCAACTGGTCATGGATAATGCTGATCCTAATTTAGATGCAGCTCATTTGCTTCGCCAGAAGAGGCCTCGCATATTTTGTACACCTCATTGCATGCTGAATAGGCCTTATGCTTAAGGCCATTGGCGACTTGTCTAGTATTAAAGGACACTTTCTAAGGCTAAGGAAGTCACAATCTTCGTATACAGCCAATCCTTACCCTCAGCATCGCGCAAGTTCACAAAAAAGGAGCTAGTGAGGCCCCGGATCACCAGATTTGCTACTGCTTACCTGAATCTTAAGAGCATATATAGTAGGAGGATCTCATTGAGATCTATGTTCACTTCAGAGGATTGGAGTAGGTGTAGGTGGTCTAGAGATCCCGAGGGAACGAAGGCCCGTGATATTATTCTAAGGTTTTGTAGCGTGGGATCAAGCACTCACTAGCAGCATTTCTGCCCTTGGTCAAGGTATTGTGTTTGGCTCATGCTAACAAGCCCTCTATGGGCTTTATATATGATGCACTAGAAGGAGCTAAGAAGGAGATAGCAAAGAATTTGGGCAATGATAAGGCCAAGTATGACCCAATTTGGAAAATTGTTGATAACAAGTGAGATATGCAGCTCCATAAACCATTGCATACAGCTTAGTACTATTTAAACCCAAAGTTCTTTTATGTCGACCTAGATATTGAAGGAAAGATACACTCATGGATGTCTTTAATGAGTGCCTAAAGAGACTAACTCCAAAGGTGAAAATTTAAGATAAAATATATGTTGATTGTATGAGTGTGGCTCGAAGTAGTTTGGGAAAGAAATGGTGGTGAGACAAAGGACCAAATCACATCCAGGTAATATATGTCATTTGAAAGTTTTCTTTCAAGTTCCCATTGACTAATTTAGCATTTTAAATTCGCTAAAGTTCTTTATGATAATATAAAATTAATTATAGAGGAAGTAGTTAAGATTGACAGCCGGGAAGTACAAAAGAGACCGTACTTTCGATATCTTGGGTCGATAATCTAGGATAAAGAGATCGAGGAAGATGTCGTACACAAAATTAGAGCTAGGTGGGCGAAGTGGAGATGTGCAATTGGAATTTTATGTGATCGTTGCATACCAATGAGGCTGAAGGGCAAAATATATAGGACAGCAATGAAACCAGCTTTGCTGTATGGGGCGGAATGTTGGGCGGACAAAAAACGATATACCCATAGAATTAGAGCAGCGGAAATGAAGATGTTGAGATGGATGAGTAGCAAGATAAGAAGGGATAGAATTCAAAATGAATCTACTCGAGAGAATTTAGGCGTGGCATCAATAGACGATAAAATGAGAGAGAATAGACTTAGATGGGTTGGCCATGTGTGGCACCGACTAAGTATAGCACCTGTTTGGAAGTGCGAGTTAGTTCAAGTAGAAGGACTGAAAAGGGCAATGGGTAGGCCCAAAAGGACATGGTTAGAAGTAGTCTGATAAGATATGGGACCTTATGGCCTCATTGAGGATATGACCTTTAGTAGAGTAGAATGACGAACCAGGATTCATGTAGCTGACCCCAATTAATTGGGAAAAGGCTAAAATTATGATGATGATGACATCCAAATTGCAGCTCAGGTCGGCCCAAAAAAACATGGTTAGAAATAGTGATACAAAATATGAGGACTTATGGCTTCACTGAAGGTATGACCTTAATAAAGCAAAATGACGAACCAGAATTCATGTAGACGACCCCAATTAGTTGGAAAAAGGCTTTGATGATGATGAAAATTATGAAACCCAAATTGCAGCCAATGGTGAAGCCAGCATGGGAGTAGTGCTCCAAAGTTCCAAGAGATAGCTATTCGGGTTTTGAGTTTAACAACTTGCTCTTCTAATTGTGAGCAGAATTGGAGTTCGTTTGATATGGTATTTATAGTTCTTTTCTTGTTTAGTTGTTTACAAATTCATTTTTGTATTATGGAAGATATAAGCATTGAGTACATTAGCACCAATTTAGATGTCTCAAGTAGACGTAGTAGTACTACTCGAGCATTTTTTCTTATAGATGCATACAAAGAGAAGAAAAAGGCTTGAGTAAATGAAGCTCAATGATTTGGCATTTGTTAGAGATAATCAAAATCTTAAGGAAAAGTTCAACTATTCGAAGAGCGATCCCATCGCTTCAAAGGATAAGGAGAAAGTGGTTGAGTGACTGTATGAAAACCCAAGTATTGAAGGGGTCTTCCTTGGGGAGGGTTTGACCAGGGACATCGTTGAGGAGGCTCTACTTCCAGCTTCTGATTCAAGAAGGGCCACTCGATCAACAACTATTGCTGGTACTGCACAAAGGGTGAGGGAGATAGAAGAGGAGGAAAATTCAAAAGAAACCAAGGAAGATGAGCAATATGTTGAAGAGGTGATAATTCTAATGATGATGGCCTCGATTTAAATGGAAACCGAAATGAAAGTGACTAAGAAGATTTTGAATATTTGACGATTGAAGAAACAAAGATCTCTTGTCTTTAGAATTTCATCTTGTCTTTTATATTATATCCTCTTGTATTGGACATATAGACTATTGATTTTACACTTTTCTTTTGTATTTCATCTTGTATTTTATTTGTGTATCATGATCGTGTATTGCATTGGAATATGGATTGGAGAGTTGGAAACTAATACACCACGGACTTGTTTGTATTTTTGACCTTTTTCCATAAAATTTTCAAAATTTGAAGTTTTGAACATGTTCCAATATTCATGTGTATATATTATGCATGGAATAAGTTAGTTAGAATACATATAAATGCAAAAAAAACAAATAAAATGTCTGAACAGCAAATATATGCAATTTTCTAAAAACTTTTCACCTCAGGGCACCCGCCTAGAGGCTGGAAGCTGGGCCCCAAGCTGGCCGCCTAGAGGTTTTTTAAACATCGGAGCACAAAGTCTATAATACAATAAAGTCTCTCAAATGTTGTGGCACACATCAATTGCTCCTATTTCACGTCCATTATGATCTCAATAAAGTCCCGTTTATTATTCTATCAAAAGTTCATGAAAGAAAAAACCCTCTGAGAGTTGTCAGACTAGACCATATAAGCAAAGACACATAAGCTTCAAGTCATGGTAACTACTGATTTGTTCAGACTTCAGAGTATAAAAATCAAAAAAAAATTATTTTATCAGAGAATGTACTGAAAAATGGAAATAATAGGATAAAGATAGAGAAAAAAGTCCAATTTTTCTATTGTAGTGCATAATCGAAGGAGAACATCTAAACTGGACCTAGGGGGGAAAGAAATCCGAGTGATCTACAGGGATATAAAAGATGAAAAACAACTCTGCACATCGTCTCCCTAACCATCCACGCCCATCTCTAAATCCAACTCAAAGGCAAAGCCTATTTCCCAAGAAACTTAAATTCCATCTCTAAATCAACTGAATAGAGAGAGGAAGTAGAAGAGGAAAGGGGTAAGAATAAAAAATGAATGAAAACAGTCATTAGTAATATTGCTACTTACTCTCCCTGTTGCTTCAACTCTTCCAGTCGAGAAAGCATGGCGGTCGATATAGCACTTTCCATATCCGATGCCTCCTCCATCTCTCTCTCTCACCCAAGCCTAGACAGAGAGTGAAATTGATGACAAACGAAATGCAGCTGCCTCCCGCCCTTTTGCAATCTCTCTCCTCTCCCTCCGAGTCTTGAGTTTCTTTGGCACGACTTTTCCTCTTTTAAGTGGGCATACGGAAAGTACACTGTGTAGGAGACCACGCGTGCGTACCGATGGATGGTTGATGGGCAAAGAGAGGATTTGAGTGGAGACGCCTATGAGGATGCGGAGGCATTGCGCGTATGGTGGAAATGGACCCGGATAAGACACAGGTCTAGGTATGGGATCAACATTTGGACCTGCGGGTACAGTCCGGGTCCAACAATTTTTGGGTACGGGTATGAACATTGGTGGACCCACGCTGTATCCGATCTAGATCTGTTTCATTTGAGTGTATTACCCATACTCGTTAGTATAATAGTATCCCTTTCGTTTTAAGAGAGGGTAAGAGAGAGAGGACACGAGGTTCTTTAGAGAGAGAACGACAAGAGTTTCAGAGCCAGAGAGAGAGTGAGGGAGACCTAAGGTTTGTAAAATAAGAGGTTGAGAAGAGTTTCACATTGCTCCACACCAAAAGATGAATTGGGGGTTTGCTCCACACCAGGGATTGAGACCTAGGGTTTCCAATTGGCTCAGAGCATGAGCTTCCAAATAATGGCAGATGGCGGTGAATTGGGGGTTTCACATTGCTCCACACCAGAGATTGAGACCTAACGTTTCGAATTGGCTCAGAGCTTGACCTTCCAAGTGATGGCAAATAACAAAGAGGAATTTGGGATTTGGGGCTTTTTGCCCCTTATACGATGGGAAGTTCTAGCTCTCATGCAAGATTATGTATGTGACTGCTTCTTTTTTCGGACTTGACTACAAGATCACCTACGTAGCTTCTTCATGCAACATATCTTCGAAGACAGTGGTCATAGCCCTTTGGTAGGTTGCTCCGACATTTTTGAGACCAAAAGGCATCACCGTGTAACAGAAAACTCCTTTAGGAGTCAGGAAAGCAATAGACTCTTCATCTTCTAGTGCCATCCTTATCTGGTTATACCCTGAATAACCATCCATGAAGGAGAAGGCCTGGCAATTGGTTGTCGAGTCAATCAACATTTCAATAAAGGGGAGTGGGAAATCATCCTTAGGACAAGCTGTGTTTAAGTCGCGGAAGTCAATAACGACCTTGATCTACCCATTCTTCTTCTTAACTGACACAACATTAGCCAACCACTTCGGGTATTTAACTTTTCTTATGAAATTTTATGTCTTAAGTTTGTTCACATCTGCTTCTATCTGGATTTCCAATTCAGCTCGGAATCTCCTTGATTTCTGCTTGACAGGCTTAAAGGATGGGTGAATCCCCAACCTGTGAACTGCAACCTGAGGGTCAATACCAGGCATCTCTTGATAATGCCAGGCAAAGTCATCTCGATTGGCTCGTAAGAAGCCGGTATACTCCTTGTTCTCTTCAGGGGGCATAATGGTCGAGATAAAAGTGGGTCTTGGGTCAGCTTCATCACCTAGGTTCACTTCTTCTAAGTCATCAGTTGTGGCATGACCACCATCCTTCAGGACCTTTGGTGCTTCTTCTATTTCCTCCTCATCAAGGGGTATAAAATCAGGAGCTTGTTCATCCATTTCAAGCACCTCAACGTTTTGTTTTACATGCAAAGATTCCCCTTTCATCTCTTCCATTCCTGAACCCTCGGGTTCTTGAGAAGTCTAGGTAGCTTATGTTTCTTCTTGAGACTCATGGGGAGTTACTTCTTCAAGAATGGGTTCAAGGGGAGATAGTGATGGTTCTTGTGATATCGTCATATGAGAGCTTTGGTTGGTGAAGAATGGCTATGGAGGCAGACTAGCATTCTCCGGGTAACCAAGACCCTGGTTTTGAGTGTGCTGAGATGCTATGGTCTCGATAACTACAAAGGGTGCTAGCATCCCCTTACCATCACTCAACTCTTGATTCTTTGATGGTTCATAGTCCATTTTCTTCATGATCTGATGAGATTTTGGACTATCTTCTTTCTAATAAAGTAGTGAGCTTGGGAGAGAATTCCATCCTTCATAGATAGAGTCAAGGGAGAAATTCGCTTGACTAAGAAACAGAAAACCATAATCAATGAAACCGAGACAAAAAGGCCTGTGTGTTTCGTATAGATCAAGACTTGTAGCTCGATTCTTGACTCATTCCATACAGGGAAGAATTGCAAGAAATTGTTTGATAACACTTCTTCCTATTTCTCAATTATATATGACGATCATCTCATTTTGGCATTACTAAAGCATCTATAGGGAAATGGCTTTGAGGCCTCTCCTGGATGCCCATGCCTCGGGTTTCTGGGTTGAAACCGGGTAGAGGAGCATAAGGAGGTTTTGGAGGCGTCACTTCCTTCATCTTAGTTTTCCTTTTTCTCATAATTTCAACTTGATTGAGTAAATCTTACACTTTCTCTTTCAATTCAACAATAGTAGCTTGTCTTTGAACTTTGTATCGATGTTCGGGAATGCCGATGAAGTCATTGGAAGGGTGAGAAGAGCAACTATCTTTCATGTTTTGATGAGTAACCCGAGTTCCCATGACAAGGGTTGGGAGACGCAAAATCTTTTGAGAGTCAGGGATGTGGCTGGCTCGATTCGTGAGGCAAGCACTATCTTTCTCCCTTTCGAGGACTAGGACATGCAAGACCTCAGGTATATGCAGGACTTTGGGGTGATCTTGCTGATAAAGGGATGAAGGAGTGAGGTAAGCATTATCTTCCTCCCTTTCGGGGACTGAAATACGCAATACCTCGAAAATTTGCAAGACTTTGAGGTGAGCTTGCTGATAAAAGTGAGGTAAGACTTATCTTCCTCCCTTTCGAGGACTGGAATATGCAAAATATCGGGTATTTGCAAGACTTTGGGGTGAGCTTGCTGATAAAAGGGTGAAGGACATAGGTAAAGATTATCTTTCTCCCTTTCAGATACTGGGATATGCAAAACCTCAGGGATTTGCAAGACTTTGGGGTGAGCTTGCTGATAAAGGGGTGAAGGAGTAAGCTAAACATTATCTTCTTCCCTTTCGGGGACTTGGATATGCAAAACCTCGGGGATTTGCAAGACTTTAAGATGGACTTGCCGAAGAGGGATTTGAGGTACGGGGTAAGCATTATCCTTCTCAATATGCAGGACCTCTGGTATTTGTAATACCTCATGTTGAGTTTAGGCGTAGCTGATCTGGGGAGTAAAGTAAGTGTCGTTCTCCTCTCTTAGAGAGACTAGAATGTGCAAAACCTTTTAGCCATCTTTTTGGTCTATTACAGCCTGATGTGCAACCTCAGCTTTTAAGAAGGGAATGGTGATATGCAACACCTTCATGTCACTATGAATATAAATGATTGTAGGTGCTAGCGAGCTTAAATAAGTGGTTTCCTTCTTAACTTGCTCAATATGAGGCACCACTAGAATGGGTTCTTGTGGGGATGGAGTAGAGGATGAAGTTTATGACCTTAGTACATCACTTCTTTTGGGGAAGTGGAAAATTTTCCATCGATCAAAGGGATCACTTTTCCATATCTCTTTTCTTCTTGAACCATGTGATTAATTGACCCTGACATATCTTCCACATCTTCATGAGAGGTTTGAGCAATCTTCCTCGAATTTGGGCTTGTAATGGATTTCATAGGCAACATCAGCTCTCGAGAGCGCAATGGGTCCATGACATAGTATTCGCATCAGCATAATGCAGCTCAGCAATAGGAAATGGTCTCTTGTTAGCATAGATTGTGTGTTGCTTTCCATCCCGACTATATTTGAAGCATTGATGGAGTGTGGATGGAACTACCCCATGGTAATGTAACCAGGGACAACCCAGAAGGATGTTATAAGAAGTATCTGTATCAATTATATGAAACAAAGTGGAAGCATTTAAATCCCCTATTTTGAGCTTGAGGCGGATAACACCAGCTGGTTTCTCCCCCGACTGATTAAATCCTTGAACTGTCAGGTTTGTACGCTGAAGTTGCTCAACACGTATCCCAATTTACGTGAGAATCCTCTTAGGCATGAGATTCACTGCTGATCCCCCATCCAGCATAATCCAATTGATTTGGCAAGCATGCAACTCGCCAGTTATGAAGAGAGGCCGATTGTGAAACCTCTCACCCAACTGAAGGACATCATCAGAAAATGTGATAGCCATGCAACTGTTAAGCATTGCAAGATCCACCTCAACTCGTTCGATCTCAGTTTCATACACTCCAGACCGGGAGAGAGCTTTTACCAGAGTCGTACCAAAGTATTTTGATAACATGAGAGCATCATAGACAGTCAAGAAAGCTGTAAGTCTCCTCAAGTGCTCAACTACATCATACTTGATTTTGTCGGCTTCAGGAAGGATGGCTCCTTGGCTCACCACTGGTTTTAGAGGGACATGTTGTGATGGAGTGGCTTTTGAAGGGGAAGGATTTGCTACAGCCACTAAGGAAGGGTCAGTTGTAGTTGTAGGAGGGGGAAGAGAAGGCCGGCTGGGTTGCACAGCCAGAGTAGTTGTTGGTAGAACAGGGAGAGGTAAAGGTTGTGGTGGTTCAGGATTTTTAAAGAAAGAATGTGAGGTATTTGGGTAGGGGACTAGTAGTGGTCTAGGGTATTTTAAAAGAGGAGGTGGTTCTTGAATAAGAATGGATGAGTTTGGATAGGGAACTAGTGGCGGCCCGGGATACTTCAGAAGCTTAGGTTGAGCCTGTTTTTGAATTGGCCTAAGTTTTCTTCCTGGCCTCGACCTCATTTGATCAACTGTGGTTGTTGTGATTCCCTCATGAAACACCAACATATGGCATGCTTCATAATTTGAAGAACTCACTCCTTTCGAATTCTTTCATAGCTCCCTAAAATCAGGCTCTATGAGCCATTGAGGTTTCTTCTAACAATATTTGTTGTTGACAGTATGGTATCTTCATTAGAGGAGGCCTATCATTGCTAATATCACCTTTATGACTGTAGAGGAGCTCCTCGAAGCCGGGCTCATGCTGGACCCAAAGTCCATGGAAATCACAAGCCTGAGGAAAATGGTGGTTCGCCTTCGCTCAGAGGCGGAGCATCACCAAAACATGTCCAACTTCTATCGGGGAGAGGTCAAACAAGTGAAGGAGCATTTGTCCTCTATAAGGCAGAAGCTGGCTAGGGTCAGTAGGATGATCTGTTTCGAGGAGTAATGCCCCAAGGCATAAACAGTCAGAGCTTC